AAAGACATACAGAAAGCACACAGAGAAAAGGCAGATGCAAATTCTTATAATTAATTCAATGCAATTGAATTAAATAACTACAATCACATTTGCGAGTAAATAAAATCTGTAATTCAACTATATCCTGTCTATTAGAGACTCATTTTATATTCAGAGACACAAATAGATTGAAAGTTTAAAAAGGGAAACTTTTAGTTGTGAACATGTTTACCTATATTCTGCTATTGTGGGACATTCTACAGATGTCTATTATATATAATTGACTTACAGTACTTATGAGTCTTCAATATCCTTTTTAATCTTCTGCCTAGTTCTGCTACCTCTCATTGAAAGTAGAGAACATGGAGTATTATTATTGAATTTTCTATTTCTTCTTTGAATTCTGTCACCATTTCCTTTTTATATTTCTAGGATCTGTTGTTAAATTATGTTTTCTTCATGAACTGACTACGTTTTTATTCATTCATTCATTTATTTTGCAGCACTGGGGATTGAAATCAGGGCTTTATGCATGGTGAGCAAGTGCTGTACCAGATCATCGATTGACCTTTCATTATTAAAAACATCCTTCTCTAGTAACATTATTTGTTTTAAAGTCTACTGGATGTAATATAAGTATAGCCATTCCAGCTCTTTCAGTTATTGTTTCATGCTATATCTACAGATTAAATCTATATCAAAAATCACAGCTGAATTGTTTTCAGAAATTGATAAGCTAGCCCCAAAATTCATACAGAATACAAGGGACCCAGGATAGATAAAACAGTCCTGAAAAAGTTAGAGGAAGGGCTGGTAGAGTGGCTCAGTGGTAGAGCATCTGCCTAGCAAATGTGAGGCCCTGAGTTCAAGCCCCAGTCCTGCTGGAAAAAAAAAAAAAAAAGTTAGAGGACTCACACCCCTCAACAGCAAAGCTTATTGCACAGCTGCAATAATCAAGATAGTGGGTGTTCACATAAAGATAGAGAGATCAATGAAATAGAATTGAGTGTCCAAAAATAAATGTATATATCAAAGGCAAAGTAATTTTTGTCAAGGGTACTAAGTCCATTTAATAGGGAAAGAAAGTATCTTCAGGAGTTGATGCTGGAACAGCCAGGTTTCAGAACCCTTACTTACACAGTACACAAAAATTAATTCAAGATACATCAATGGCCTAAATATAAAAGCTAAATCTATAAGCTCTTAAAAAAATACATTACCTTCTATTAGGTAATGTTTTTTAGACACCTCACTTCTTCAAAGTCAAACATATTTGTGTTTCAAAGAACACCATCAAGAAAATGAAAGACTCCCCAAGAATGTAAAAAACATCCTCCATCTTCACAGATGTTAAGTTTTACGATATAGTTGATGCTGTATCATTCTCCTTTCCTTTCTCTCCTTCCCCAAGTTTCAGAGTATTTCCACTATTACAAACATGTTCTACATCTGACTTTGTAAAATGGAGGATGGGAGGTAAAAAGCTAAGGGAGAGCAATGGCAGGGGTTGAACGAACCAAAGTAAAGTATACTTAAGAATGGGGACACACTGAGAAACTCCTTTGAACATCGACTTAAATATTAATCACAAAAGACAGAACTGAAAAATAGGTACAATGGTGGGGGGCACTTGAGGGAAGGGGGGGTGAATGAAGGAGATTAAGGTGAGGGTATATGGTGGATGGACTTCATACACTTACATGAAACAGAAGAAACCTCTTGCAATTGCTCTAAGTGCAGCAGAGATGGGGTAGATGGGGAGAGGTGGTGGGGGTGATCTAACCAATGTATACTATAAGCCTATTTGGAATTGTCACAATGAATTCCCCCTGTGCAACAAATACCTCCTAATTTTAAAAATCTGCAGATCATATACTGATAAGGCCTTACATCAAAATATATGAACCCTTATAATTCACAAACTAAAATACAAAAAACCTAATTTTAAAATAGGCAAAATATTTGAATACTTAATTCTGAATATGACATACAAATGGATAATACTAATAAGCTGCTGAAATATTGCTCAATATAATTAATCATTAGCAAAAATCAAGAACAAAATGGGGTACTTCTTTACATCAAGCAGGGTAGTTACAAACAAAAAGAACATCAAACATGGGTGAAGACGTAGACAAATCAGGACCCTCATACATTGCCGGTGGGACCAGCATTTCTTCAAAATGTTAAACACAGAGTTACCTCTAGCCTCAGTAATTCTACTCTTAGTTATATACCCAAGAGAATTGAAAATGTACATTCAAACTTACACATGAATATTTCTAGCATCATCATTCATAATAGTCAAAAAGTGAAAATGATCCAAATATTCCTCAGGTACTATGTGTTTTTTATAAAAAATTATATATATGTATATATATCCCTATAGTGGAGTTCTAATCAAGAGTAAAAATGAATAAAGTACTGATATAAACTATAACATGTTAACCTTGAAATCTTGAGTCAAAGAAGCTGGTCACAAAAGGTCGATGTCATGTTGTGCGAGTCCACTCACATGAAATGTGCAAAATAGTCATAGTCATAGAAACAAAAATAAATAGTTGTCACCAAGGGCTAAGGAGAAGAGGGATGATAATTTACTGCTAATGTGTTAAAAATGTTCTGGAATTACACGGTTGTGATGATTGGGCAACTCTGAATATACTAAAACTACTAAACAGTATATTTTAAACAGCTGAATTTCATGATAGGACAATTATATGTCAATGAAGTTGGTACTTTAAAAAGGTAATTATAAAGAATTATAAAGAATATCATATATCATCTTAACAGATACAGAAAAAAAATTTGATAAAATCCAAAATTCATTCATGATTTTAAAAAAAACTACAAACAGGTATTTCCTCAATCTGACTAATAGTATTCATAAAGATTTCCTGAATACTAATATTTCAGTAAAGGTGAAATATTGCAAACTTTTTTCCTGATGTAGAAGAAATGGAAATAAATGTCATTTGTAAACAATGTGATTATATCTTTAGAAAATCCAAATGAATCTACAGGCAAACTATGAAACATATTAAATGACTTACCAAAGTTCTTATATACAAAGAAATCAAAAAAGAAAGAAAAATTAAGAACATAATTTACAATAACATCAAAAAACATCACAGCCCCCAAGTGAATCTAAGGGAAGATATTCAAGCTCTCCATGATTAAATCTGTAACACATTACTGAAAGAAATGTAATGATATCTAATTTAAAACCTCATATCACCTTAGCATGGCATTTTCAGGAGTTGGAAGGCTCAATGTTGTAAAGAAATTCTCAATTTTATCTATAAACTTAATATACCCCAAATTTAAATTCAAAACAACACAAAAATGGAATTTAGAAAAATTACAAGTTGATTTAAAAATTTATATTAAATGCAAAGAGCCCAAAATAATCAAATGATCTTTAAGAAGAACAAAAATAGAAGATGTATACTATTCAACATAAAGACTTATTATAAAGCCATAGTAATTCATACAAATATGACTGTGAAATTGACAGAGGTAAAGGATTGCTCCCTTAAAAAAAAATCAAAAATCAAAAAAAGTTAACCTTACATTTCATCTTTCACCACATACAAAAACTAATTTCAGGATTATGGCATATGTAAAAAACAAAGGCTAAAATAATATTCCTAGAAAAACATAGGAGAAGAACTTCTGTCTATGGGGTAAGCAAAGATTTCTTAACACAAAAAATTAATTACAAAAGGAGATTTTGATAGTATGGACTCATTAAAATTAAGAACTTCTGTTCCATAGCAGAAGCAAATAGAGAATGAGAAGCAAATGACACAGAGGGAGAGCTTTGTAATGCATCTATCCAACAATTCCATATTTCTATCATTGTAAAAATACCTGAGATAACAACTTAAACAACTTAAAGGAGGAAAGATTTATTTTGGCTCATGGTTTCAGTGGTTTCAGTTCATGGTCACCTGGCTCCTTTGCTTTGGGTCTGTTGCAAAGCACTTCCATCATGGTGGAAGTGCACCGTAGAGGAGGCTGCTCAAGTCATGGCAGATGGGAAGCAGAGAGATAGGAGGGGCCAGGGTCCCAACATCTTCTTCAAGGGCACATCCCCAGTGATTTAACTTTCTCCCACTAGGCCCTACCTCTTAAAAATTCCATCACCTCCCAATAATAGCACAGACAACAAAGCCCTTATCATATGGGCCTGCAGGAGTACTTAAGATCCAAGCCATTTTAAGGTGTATCTAAAATGCATGTGAAACTATAAATGAATAACAAAAAGACCATCAATAAATTGGCACAATATTCATATAGACACATCATAAAAAGGGATATTCAAATTTTTTAAATGTGATCAAGAAAACACAAAACTGCAAAGAGATAACCACATCACTTCCACTGGAATTGTTAAAGACCAATAATTCCAAGGATTGGGAAGTATTTGGAACAGCTGCAACTCTCACATGTAACTGTTAGAAGAATAAACTGGTACAACTATTTTAGAAAACTATTTTGCTGAACAAATACATAACCATGTTCAACCAAAGACATGTCCAAAAAAGAGTAATAGCATCACTATTGGCAGTGACTGAAAACCGGAAGCAGCTCACATGTCTGTCAACAGCACAATGGAGAAGTATATTGTGGAATAATAAGAATACAGCATATCAATGAGAATCAATGAACCACCAGATGAAAACATAGTGAATTATTCAAACACAATACTAGACAAATGCAGCCAGATATGTAATGGTTACATAGTACATGATTCCACTTACAGGAAGCTCAGAAATAAGCAAAGCTACCTAATATGTTAAAAAGTCAGAACATAGCCTTCTTTTGGGAGGCTGATATGATTAGAAGGGGTCTTGAGGGCATTGCTGGGGTTTCCTAATATCCTGTTTGTTAATTTGGGGTACAGTCACTTTGTTAAAGTTTATTGGACTGTACTTATTATATCCCTACATCCATGTATATGAATGGTATATCCAAATAGAAACTTCAAAATGAAATGAAACACAGACGACACCTACATTGCTTTCCATTTTCCTGCTGTGGTGAGAAGCAAATCCTGCTGTCATTGCTGCTTTCAGCTTGGTTTCTAAACTGGGAGCACTTGAGGAAATCAGGCCAGGAGGAGTTTACCATCCCCAGGACAGACTCACACCCTTCTTTTGCAGCCTCACAGAAAGATCTACAGGGCAGGAGACCATGCCTAGAAGAAAAGGGTGAAAATTAATGTTTTTACAAAATGCTTCTCAAAATAATAATGACATCAAAGTTAGCCACTAGTGCTAACTTGTATTTCCTAGAGTCAACAAACTTAGGTTTCTGCATTCAGAACTATGACAATTTCAGCCAGCATACTGTCTGGATTCTAGAGAGAATAATCTAGTTCCATAATGCACATCTAACTATCTCTTGTAGAAGCATTTATTCCAAATGACTTTTTAAATATTTCCTGTGCTAAAAAATAGACTGGCCAATTGAAAAGGACTCTATTTGACAACAAAAAGGAAAAATTAACATGGAAAAGAAGATCCCACAAAAATGGTTCTGGTCATTCTTTATCTTCCATTTGAAAAATTCAAAGTATCTCCAAGAAGCAGAGAGAGCTCTGTTCCTTCCACCCCAGCCTCCCTAGGAAAGAGACATCATCCAGACAAGTGACAATTCAGAACACCTTGTACCACCACTTATCTTTTCAGATTTCTATTTGTCTGCTGCAAAATAGAAAAATGCCAACAACTGTGTGTTAGTGTTAAGAGTACTGATGTCCTCAGAGCTTGTTTTTCTTTACCTAATACACAACAGAACACTCCCAGATTCACAGCTTTGTGAATGACAACTTGGATGCTACCAATGCCAAGGCCACAGAACAGTTTCTTTTCAGACTCAAGTGACTTTCTCTACCTTACAGCTATAGGCTGCATCCCATGCCTCTTTTGTTCATCTGCTAAAGACATTTCAAAGGACTTCAAGGAAACTAGGAAAGAAAATCTATATGTAAGTCAAATCACTTCATGAGTGTAAGCTCAATAAAATACCACAGAAACATACAACAGTAGATCTGTAAGAAACCTTAAAATCATTTAAGAAATACAGGCCTAAAAAGGTTCTGCAACAGACTCAAGGTCACATGGTTTCTGTTATTAGCTTCCTCCCATCCAAGTACTAACCAGGCCTGACCCTGCTTAGCTTCCGAGATCAAATGTGTTCAGGGCGGTGTGATCGTAGATTCTACTACTAGCTTCCTAATGGCAGAGGTAGGAACAAAATCCAGGTGTTTGAACTTCCAGGCCATGCTCTATTCTCTCATGTCACCTATTCTCATATGAGGGCCTAGTAATAGGGCTTTACAAACTCCTTGATCAAACAAGCTCATATACCATATAATTACAGAGTACAATTCTACATATTACAGAAACATAATGAAACATGTCAGCCAGTGAGATAAAACAGAACTCATAGTCTTTGAAAAAGTGTCTTGGAGGAGAGCTCTCATTATCCCTATAAAAATTTGGAAAAGGAGTCTGAAGGGGGCACCATTTCTCTTGCGGGAGCAAGGTTTTCTCTCTCGCTCCTTGGTTATTACTGGACCTAACTGGGCTTAACTGGGGGCAACTGGAGATTTTAGAAGAGATGCAGTATAGACAGAAAGACAGAAGTTGGGGTCAGGTGTGTTGTATGCTCCACTGGAGACATACAACCCTTATTGCTTCTTTTCTCTATCTTGATTCTTTAAGGCCTTACTCCTTGCAGTTCTTTAAAACCTTCCTTAAAACCTCTTTCCTTAGGCACTGTCCCATGTTTGCTCTTAGCTTATCTTTAGCTTAACTGTTCTTAAAGTCTTTTGCCCCCAGGCTTGCACCGTCTCATCTCTCTTTAGTTCTCTTACAGCCTCAGTGCTCAAACTCGCAAACAGTCACACCTACAACCTTTTTATGCATAATTCTTAATGTCTTGGTCCTTAGACTTGCACTGTGCACTGTCCCATGTTCTTGTTGGCGTTTTTTTTAGCTTTAGCTTTCCTAAGGCCTATGTATGAAGTTCTCAGCTTTGCTTTCTGAAGCCTATGTTAAAGTTCTCGGTGCAGACGTTCTATCAACCCCTCTTTAGTATTTTCCCTTGGACAATTCTTTTCCCTTCCAAAAACTTTCCACACCAAAAGGCCCAAAGTAAAAACTTCTTCCCAATATTCAAAGGCAAAAAGCCCCCCAAATCAAAATGCTAAGCAAAAAGCCCAAAAGCCCAAAGTGAAGCCCAAAAGGCAAAAACCCAAAAAGTCCCTCTTCCTCCTTCAGGGGTCTTTTATAACAGCAAACAGGGTGGTGCCACGGGGAGGGGAGTGACATTGTAACAGGAGAAACCTGCATTCCTGCTTCTCTGAAAGCAATTTAGGAGACGCAGCTGCTCTGCCTTTCCCTGTTTCATGGCCAAGGGCTGTGCCTAATCTTGGCCTACAGGTTAAAAGCAATTAACTGCATCTCGCCTTGCTTTAATCCTCTCTCACAGGCTTTAATCCACTCCCCAAAAGAGTCCTCAACAATTACATTATGGTAAAAATGTTTCCTACTTTAAGAAAGTCACATTAAAACTGAATATCTTTTAGAATTCTCATAGTCACAGAAGTATCTACATGAATTAATATGTAACTAAATTTAATTGTAAAGATATAGATAGAGATTTTGATTTTGAAAGAATTACCTTTAATGAATTGGTCCAAAGAAGTATCTTGGTTTAAAAAAACACACCTGATCGCCACTCCAGAAATACATTTAAGATAGTCATAGAACTAAGAAAGTATCACTTAAATAACAATGTTTTAAAATTGCTTTCTTCTCTAAATCTTATTCCAGAAAAAATTAGATTATATTTTCTCATATAAATTTAGAGCTCATAATTAAGGAATGTGGAGAACATAGATTACTGGGCCATGGCTTGCACTTTGCTAGGCACTGTTCTAAGTGCTTCACAAGCATTAACTTATTTATTTCTCACAACAACTTGGTGTGATCAGCGCTATTACTCTTACCCTAATATACAAATAAGGCAACCGACCATGGGAAATAGAACTTATTCAAGTTCACTGTGATAATGAGAACAGGTTTAGAACACATGCAGATTGACCCAAGAACCCAGTCACTTCTATACTATAGGTAAGTCCTTACTTCATGAATGGAAGTTAGATTAAAACTTGATACATGCTTTCCCATTGCACAACCATATACAGGATGGTTAGGATCACCCTTCATTCTATAATAGCTAGTAAACCTTCAAGGAACCATACTATTTGTCCAAGGGGCTCAGGAGCACATGGAAGAGGTAAAAAAATGTGTCTACTTTCTTTTCTAGGTGTGAGACAGTCCACAATAAAGCTATAAACAAACCAGACTTGTCTTTGGTATGCCTCTTTTACCTCACCCCTAACCAGGGTTTCTGTGTCCTCATATCATCCTGACCACCCCAATTTCAGCATACTATCCAAACAACCATCTCTGCCAGAATGCACAAAAAATATTTTTCCTTTCCTATGATCAAAACTACACCTTCAATTGTAGCTGGCCTCAATTAGGGTTTTAAATAAGAGATGAGGGAGAAAGTCAGTAATACATAATGACAGAAGAACACACAACCTTCCCAGAGAGTTGTACACCATTAAAGGAAGACTTGTTACTGGAGCAAAGGGATCACTAACTGATGAAATTTCAGGTACCACTTAGAGGTGACTCTAACCATGGTCATTTTTCCAAATCTACCACTCTACAACCTTCACAAGGCCATTCCTCCACTGTCTGATCTTTGGCTAAACATTCACTCATGCCAAAGTTTAGTTTCCTCATTTGAAAAGTGAGGGGTTTGGAAAGCAAGAATTTGAAGCATTTGTCATGATCCTTTATTATGCATATTCTATAAATCAATATGCATTCTTTCATTCTTTCTCAAAAGAACACTGATAATCACACCAGCTTTGCTAAATTTCAAGGTAACAGACATTTTTCTCAAGATTTGTTCTGAGAGTACATAGAGACATTAAAATACTATTAGGCTTTCTATTATAAGAATAGGGCATAAGAAAACTGTCTAGAAGTGTTTCCAAATAGCTCTCTTACGAGGTGGAACCAATCAAGACCCATAAGCTTTAAATTGCTGGACGAGGATGTATTAATAACTCACAGCCCTTGCAAATAGCAAGCAAAATGAGGAGCCATTTGTTCTAGCTTTGCATGAAATTCAACAGCCTATGAAGGGCTGAAGTAGTTTGCTTTTCATCACATGGAACAGTGTGGTGAGACAGGCCACACTATTTTGGAATATAAGTATCTATATCCAAGCAACAAGCATTCTGACAACTGAAAAACAGTGCTCAGCACAGGGAAAGATCCACTTTGGCTATCAGAATTGCTATTTTAGAAATGATGATTATTTTAAATTGATGTGTGAAGTACATTGGTGTTGTGTAAAAAAATCCCTGACACATTTCAACTAAAGTTGAAGCAGAAAGCTCTTTTATCACCCCAATGGTTATTTGTTGAAATATTTGATAATATGCAAATAATGCAGGGATAGTAAGGGTTTTATGATGTTTTCACTAGGAAGAATATTCCAAAATGATTACCAAAAAGTTTCCCATTTATCTTAAATTTATTAGAGAATTTATGGAACCAAAATTTTGTTATGCTACATCTACAAACATATACATATATATTTATCTATAAAAAAGATCTGAAAAGGATATAACTTAAAATTATTGAATAAGTTATAGCCACAAAATAAATTTATATGCCCACTTTTTAAGATTTATGAATCACATTTTTCTAAATTAATTTGAACTATTTTTGTACATTCAGAGAAGTTATAGAAATAATGCAAAAAGTTTCCATCTATCCTTCATCTAGATTTCCCCAAAGTCATCATCTTATACAACAACAACTCTTAGAACCAGAAAGTAAACATGAACACATTATCTTTGACTAAACTAAATACCCTATTCCATTTTGCCAGCATATCCATTCAAGATCTCACATTGCATTTAATTGTCAACCTTTACTTTTGATCAGTAGACTAAACTTTAACTGTGTTAGAAGAGCTTGGGGTTTAAAACTCTTTTTTCCCCAGGAAAAAAACAAGAGAAGACTTTGTGGCAAGCACATTCTTAAGATGGTGGCCAATGACCTCTGGCTCCTGGTTTCCATGTACTGTACAAGCCCCTCA